CAGCAGTGCAAGGCTAACATGATCTAAGAGTTGGCCACGTACTCAGTTCTGGACCATTTGGGTTTGAAGATACCAGTTTGGGGAAGGGAAGGAAGACTGGAGCAACCAATGCCAGGCCTTTTCCATTTTCACATGCTCGTGGCCATTGTGTGACAGCCTCTACTGCTCCTTGCTCCCTGTCACACAGCATGTCCAGGGATGCCAGCTCTGGAGCCATGGGTGTCTCACATGGGGGTCACAAATCCAAATAGCCAGAGGGGATGGGCAGGCAGTGCAAATGTGTAAACAGTCCATGTGGGGATGGGTGTGCTGGGGAGCATGTCCCATTCTGAATACGGCCACTCCTGCTCAGCTGCAGCTGACAGGCTGCCTCATGGGGACACAGTCCTAGCAATACCTAATATAATCTTCCAGAAGCCAGAAATCTGCATTTTTATCTCTTGATTTTTAAATGGTGGCAGCAGACCAAACCAAACACAGCTGCAGGTCACATCTGGCCCACAGGCCTCCCAGTTTGAGCCTCTGCTCTGGAGGCTGCACAGGAAGCGCTGCCAGGTCCCTCAAACACCCCCAGCCACATTTTCGAGGCCCTGGGGTAAGAAAGGTCTCATGAACCTGACTGGGGGACAGGCCGAAGAAAGGTGGCAGTTGGTAACACTCCCACTTCCTACTCTGCTGAAGAGAAGACAGCAGAGGAAACCAGAGGGTCTTTCTATTGGAAGCAAGCATGGCCTTCAAAGGGCCCCAGACAAGAGTCAAAGATGAGATCACTCAGGCAGCTCAAGAAGGGAAAAAGATTTATTAGCCCATTTCCAGGACAGACCCGAGGGCCGTGGCTAGGTTCAGTGTTCTCACATTCAGAGGGAAGAAAAGGCAGTAGTGAGACCCGCCTGACTGCCTTCACTCGTTCTGCTCCACACAGCTCTGTGCTCACAAACACCACCCACGCCTCCTGCAGGGAGGACACAGGGCCCAGGAGGCCGACCTAGCAGGGTGGGAATGGCTTGGCCTTACTCTTGGCCTTCACAGGCAGAGCTTGGGCTGGGGACCCAGGGCATCATCAGCCATTCTGTTCACAGGAGCAAAACTTGGGTCTAGAAGGAACAGGCCGCGGGGGCTTCTGCAGGTCAGCTGCACCAACCCCACAGCACGCGCTGCTCCCACTCCTTGATCTTCCAGGTGATTTTAACTTTATTTATAAACAAGACGAAAATCCAAGCAGCATTAATTTAGGGGAACAAAAAAAAAAGGTTTAAAAAAAAACCCACGGAGGGGACAGGAGTTGGTGAGCATCCAGAAGAGGAAGAGGAGGAAGTAGGAAGAGCCAATATTCCACTGGGTGCCGAATGTACTTCTGCATCTCTGGCCGGGGAGCCCCTTCCTGCTCCTCGGCTGGCGACCAGACAGCAGAGGGGACACTGTAGTATCTTTAGGATGAGCCCTGGAGCCCTGACTGGCCACCGACATGGGGAATTGCATGAATTTACCCCAATCGACCTCCCACATTCACCATCACCCGTGTGAAGAAGCTTTTAACTCTCTTGTCCAAAGTCCTCTGAGAATTTCTTCACTTTCAGGAGGTCATCTGCATTCACAGTAGGCCGGGTGGTGGCCAAAGACCGGAGCATGTCCGACTGCAAAGACAAGAGCATGTGGTTGAGGAGTAGGCGGGCTCCAGGTCCTCAGCCTCCCAGTGTCACAGGGTGGAAAGGGGCCTGCCTTTGACGTCAGCCCTAGCCCCAAACGCAGAACTCCTATGGTTGCCTGGTTTCTGCCCGAATGCTTCTGTGACAGGGACGCTTTCCTCCTGAGGCAGCTCATGTCATTTCCAGGCAGGCCTATTTCTGGTCTGAGAGACTCTAAGCTCTCTTTATCTCTTAACCCCAGTGGGAAGCTCCTTCTAACTACACGCCCACCACAGCAGCCCGCAACGCAGACACCTGCCGTATAGAATGAGCAAGACCATCTACAAGGCTCGGATGAAAGGTGAAGACCAGTCAGGTGAGGCTGCCTATGCCACTGCCTCAGGTCGAGCAGTGCTGACATACGTTTACTGGTCCCTTCTGTGTACAAAGCAAGCCAAACCCACGGAATGAGGCAGTCACAGCAGCCCAGGACAGAGAAGGGAAGAAGCTTATTTTTATTTTTGGACTCAAGCCCCCAATTTTCTGGGCTCTGTGTGGGCCTCTCTCCCAGCTGGCCACTTACCATGCAAACCACAGGCTCTAGGAGCTTGTCACCAGGGACATCCATCCACGTCATCTCCATGGCCCCTGGGTCCCCTGGTGAGCATGGGGTCAGGAGGTCATCGATCACAATGCTAGGGTTGGTACGGGAAGGGCCACAGACCTGAAACCAAACAGGAGTTTGACTGGCTAGAGGGGGAGGGGCAGGACGCCTCCGATTTTTGAGTCCTGAAGAGAAGGTAATGGTTGGATGTGAACGAATGCCTGGGTTTCTAGGTCATCAGTCTGACGAGGGATGAGCTTCTTTAAAACTCGGGCTGAATAGTCAAGTGGCTCAAAGTCCGATTTCAGAGGTTCATGACTAGCATGCTATTCCAGCCACTGTTTTCCAGAATCTCAATTTGCGGTGCCAAATGCCTGGATATATTCTCCTCTTTCTCATCAACTTATATCTCACCCTGAATGCAGTGACATCAAAAATGTTTTTCCAGGGCAGCTGGATAGCTCAGGTGGTTAGAGCGCAGTGCTCATAACACCAAGGTTGCCAGTTCGATCCCCACGTAGGCCATGGAGCTGCACCCTCCACTAGATTGAAGCAACTACTTGACTTGGAGCTGATGGGTCCTGGAAAAAATGTTTTTCCAATCGAAATCTGCTCCACTGGCAACACTCTCCCAAATATCCAAAGGCTCATCCCCTTACCTCCTTCAACTCATGACTCCAATGTCACCCAGTGTGGCCTATTCTTTAAGAGTGCAACCTGCCCAACTCCCTCCAAACCTGGGGAATGCCAGACCTCCATTCCCTGTTCAATCTTCGCCCTCACCACCCTCTGTTTGTTGCCTGCCTCCCCCAGTAGAAGGAGGCTCCTGGAGGACAGGGATTTTTGTCTGCCATGGCTGGTCACTACTGTCGCCCCGGCATCTAGAACGAGGCCAAGCACATAGTAGGACCCTCGGCAGACACCAGACAGAGGTCTGCTGGGTAAATGAAGTTCCTCCTTACAGTGTGTGATTTTATACCCACTTTTCAGACACTGAGTAGGGCCCACTACACCCAACAGCCAGCGCTGACTGCAGGGGTGGCAGAGGTGACTGCTACAGCGCCCTGTCCTCCAAGTTCACACAATCTGAGATGGTCATCCTCGGCAAGGAGAACTGCAGGGAAGGGAGAGCAGGTACAACCCCAGCCCTTGGGCCCAGAGGGCTCGCTTTGCTCTTGCCCTTGGTTCTCTAGGAGACCCAAGGTGTGTCACCTGAGCAGCCAGGGAGCTGGCAAAGAAAGCTGATATCCCCTTTCCTGTGATACTTCCTAAGCAGTTCCTTGACGGCCCGCTCACCTTTTTGAAGTGTGTTGCTGACTGTACTTTTCGAACAGGCTGCATGAGAGAGTCCCGCACAATGATGCTGATGTCTGCACCTGAGTAACCTTCTGTCTTCCGGGCCAGCTCGTGGATATTGGCGTCTGTGAGGTTGTGGGGAGTGCTACCCAGATGCAACCGGAACATCTGGGCACGGGCAGCCTCCTCTGGCAACGGGATGTAAATCCGCTTTTCAAACCTAGAGAGCCAAGCACAGGGCTGGACTTGAGAGCGGGTGGCCGAATGATCTTAACAAAGAGGCACAGAGGGGCCCTCCAGAAGCTGGCTTCACTCAGGCCTCTGCTCACCGTGCAGACACGGAGAAGCCTCCAGAGAAACAGGGTAAGGCTGCACCCCCGGCTGCCAGCAGCGGGTCGACCATGGCTGGAGAAAGACCTCAGCCCCTGGCTCCTACTGGGGAAGACTCACCTCCTTCTAATGGCTGAATCCAACACCCACGGGATGTTTGTGGCACCAAGAACCAGAGTCCCATCGTTATTATTCCCCACCCCTGCGGAGAAAGGGAAACACAGACACAGACTCAGAATACCTGGAAGGTCACTCAGAACTGGCGGGGAAGGACCTCAGGGGCTTCGTGTCCTGAACTGGAGCCGTCCCTGTGCCACCTTTGGCGGGGCCCTAACGGACTTGGCCTGCCAGCCTTGGGAGGGGTGGAGAGGTGGCGGGCAAAGGCCTCAGTGAAGGCCTGAGGACATGGAGCTGAGGACTGCTTCTCTGATATTCCCCTCCACCCTAAGGACCACTGAATCCAGCCGCAGCTAAACAATAAAGCCCTGGCTGGCTGCAGGTGGACCAAGAGCCAGGGCGGGAGCCCAGGACAGCACGCACCCTGCATCTGCACCAGGAACTCCGTTTTGATCCTTCGGGCAGCCTCGCTCTCGTTTTCGTTGCGGGATCCACAGAGGGAATCCACCTCATCGATGAAGATGATGGAAGGCTTGTGCTGCCTGGCCAGCTCAAACAGGTTCTTGACCAGCCTAGGAGGGTGAGAAATGTGCTTGGGACCAGGACAGTTGCCCGCGTGCCCAGCCAAGGTCCCAGTCAACACTTCTTTCCTCTCGCCCTTCCCATGGGGAGGTCGAGACCATAGTCATGCTTGGGTTTCAGAAGAACTGGTGGTAACCGATCCTCTGGCAGCACTGTACCAAGAGGAAAAGAAAGCCTTGGCGTCAGCTTCAATCCTGGCAGCCCCATTCATTAGCTCTGGACTTAGGACAAGTCACTTCCCTTCCTCTCAGCCTGTTTCATCATCTGCAAAATGGGAGTCAGTGTGGGGAATGAATTAATAATATAGAGTCCCTAACAGAGGATACGCTCCGGGTACCCAATTATTGTGAGTGCCTTTCCCTTCCCGTCATGAAGACTCATCTCTCCCAAGTTCCCTTCCAATTGCAGCTCTCTTGGTCAGAACAGTGTCCCACCCAAGAAGCTGGCAAGATACCCCTCTGCTATCTACTTCTCCCTGAAATCCAACGGCAGCGCCTCTGGGAGGTGACTCCAAGGGCGAGGAGGCTGGACCGCCAGCAGCTGCCGGTGCTGCCAGCAGAGCAGGGCCTGGGGCAGACTTACTTCTCACTCTCCCCCAGCCACTTAGACATCAAGTCTGAGGAGGACACAGAGAAGAAGGTGGAGTTGTTGGCCTCTGTGGCCACCGCTTTGGCCAGGTAGGATTTCCCTGTGCCTGGGGGTCCAAAGAGCAGTATCCCTCGCCAAGGGGTGCGCTTGCCTACAAGAAAGAATAAAAAGAAACCTCCTCTTGATTGGAGAAGGGGAACAGAAAAAAGCAGAGGGGCCTCAGTCACTGTAAAGGCAGGACAGAAAGTCTTACAAGACAATCAACTCTAAGAGCAAAGGAGTAAAGGGAACTAAATTACCTGCCGAGAGCTTGGTCCTAGCCCTGGCTCATGACCCCCATGACCCTGCAAAGTGACACTGGCTGGCACTGGTTTCTGATGCCCACCCACTGGGACGGTCAAGTCAAAGTTCTAGTCATAAAGGTTTCTGACACCAGAGAGAAGCCAAGGATTAGATGACTGCAGGGAGCAGGGCCGTTCCTGACTGTGACACACAGGAAGGCCAGGCCTCGCCTGCTACGGACAAAGGAGCCAGGTCACCATCTGCTCCTGGATACCTTCAGAGTAGGCGCATCGAGCTGGTTCCCTCAGGAGCCTGCTATTTTCACATCTCGGCCTACAGAGGCTCAACTCTTACCTGTGAACAAGTGTGGGAATTTAATTGGCAAAATGACAGCTTCTTTGAGGGCCTCCTTGGCCCCCTCCAGCCCAGCCACATCATTCCACCGAATGTTGGGCTTCTCCATCACAACAGCACCTGCAGAGGGAGGCAACGCCGTGACCTGGAGCCCCGACCCACGTCTCCCTCCCGTTGCCATGGGGCCTCGAGCCTCTTACCCATCAGTTGTTCTTGCAATTTCTTTTTCTCTGGATTATCCCCTTCACTGTCACTATCACTGCTGGGAAAGGAGACAGAAGATAACAGGCTAGAGCAAGGGTCAGTTGTCAAGGAAATTCTCAGAGCGAGGCCAGGCTCTGGTTGATGCCTTTATGATGGTAAAGGGATGCTTCCCCTGCTCAATAGTGGTGACAGACCCACAAAGTACCCCGAGGCCATTTAGGGCCCACAGTGGATCCTCTAGGAAACTCTCCTACCCCACTCCCCTCTGGATCCTCTAGGAAACTCTCATAACCCATCCTCGTTTCTTCATTAGGGGACTAACAATAGAGGTATGGGCCCTCTCTAGAGGCTGGAAAGGGACAGTGTGCTTTGCCTGGACTTCAAGAGCAACCGAGCAAGCCACTGGAGCTGGCAATGGCCTCTCATATGGACCCAAAGCCAGACAAGTGGCTATGACTCAGAGAAAAGTTAAGTCTTTTTAAGTCTGAAGGGGAGGCCTGGACAGAGAACAAGTCACTGTGCTACCCCCAGGGCCAGTCCCTCCCTGTCTGGAGGTAAGAGATTTGCTAGCCTCACCACTCTGCAGCCCTCCTGGGGATTGTCAGGCCTCCTGCCCCTTCCTGTGTGTCTCTCACTCCCGGGAATCCTCTCCACCCAGAACCAGAGCCTCTCACCTCTGGAGAGGCAGCTGACACAATACCCGCCTCTCTTCTACTCCATGACCTTCCTGCCCAGGACCCTCCCTCCACCTCCAGGGCACCACTGGCCTCTGCTCAGCTAACAGGAATCTCCATGGTGGGGAACCACAGATGTGAGGAGAGAAACTGTGGATGGAACACTGGCTTTGCAGTCAGAAACAGGATACAGGGTGTGGGGCTAGACTCCATCAAGTACCAGCTCTGTGACCTTGGCAATCTCTGAACCTCTGAGTCTGTTGCCTCATCTGTCAGATGAAGATGACAACTAGAGTGACAACAGCAGGTGACATTTATTTAGTCCTAATTGCACATCAAGCCCTATTCTCAGGGCTTCACCCCATCATCTCATTTGCTCCTTAGAGCAACTCTAGGAGGGATGTCCCATTATCTTCTCCCTCCCACAGATGAGGAGCCTGGAGGCACAGGGGGGTGATGGCATTTGTCCAAGGTCACACAGCTAGGAAGTGGCAAAGCCAGGTTATACCCGAGGAGTCGGGCTGTAGAGTCCAAAGCTCATGGCCTCCATGTTGGCCCTTCATCCCAGACCCAATGAAGTAATGGACATGAAAGAATTCTGTGAAGTGCTTGACGAAAGCAGCTGTGGGCATTATCACTTTTATCAGTGGGATTCCCCAAAAGAAAGGTGCTGTGGAAGTCCAAGGCAGCACTAGCACCAAGCGCGACAGCAACATAGGAAAGGGGCACACGCTGGTGGGGGCCCTGGTCCTGGTTGGGTCCTCCACTCCTCCGTACTCACCCCTTGCTCTCACTCTGATTCTCTTTGACTGGCTTCTTGCCGTGCTTCTCTTTGTTTCGTAAATAATCCTTCAGCTTCTCTGCCCGGTCTAGGTACTGCATGCACTTGGCTCGAATGCTCTCCTTGGCCTTATCGCTGTGCGCCTCATCTGCAAAAGGGGAACAGAGAAGGGTCCTGTGAGCCCCCGGTGCCTATGCTCCTTGCACAGCAGCTCTGCAGCTGGGGAGGGCCCCGTGTGTGACTCACATTTGATTGCGTGTAGGAAATACTCCACGGCATGCTGGTAGAGCCGGAGTGCCTCCTCGTAATTCTTGGCCTTATCCTCTTCTGTGGCTTTTGTCACCAGGTCAATGGCTTTCTGGAAAGGTAAAGCAAATAGTTCAGAGCTTCCCAAGAGATCCAGAAAGCCCCTGGGGCCCGAGGCAGAAGGGATACACTGATGAGAGAGATTGCCAGGCCTGGGACTTCGTCAGTCGCAGACCATTGTGTCGGCCTACTTTTCCAACATTAACTAGAAAGGCCTTAAAAGGAAGCTTTAATAGATAGCCATCCCTCTTCACAATATACTCAATACAGTGAAAAGCAACCTCCTTCTCAGTCCTCACTCTGGATTTCAGCAAGTGGAAGCCTGATCAAGTTGCCCAGGTTAGGGCTCAGAGGGAAAGATTCCTTTCTATTTCATGACTCAAGGGGAAAAGAAATGGACCTGGACTCAGAGCCTAGAACAGGGGAAACACCAGAACCAACTGATATCTGTGTTGCTCAGCATGGAGGCCAGAAACAGTACTTGACCTCAAGGGCCAGAGAAGACCCAGCCAGCTAGGAAAGTCCTTTATCAACCTGAGTTTTATGAGACGGACTTAAAGGGATCTCTGCTTCCTTCTACTGGCTCAACCTGCTTCTCTAGGCTGAAAAGAGAAGATGGTTTTCATAAAGTTGATAGCTAGGGAAGAGATGCTTAGATACATAGATCAATACACCATTATCTCCGGTACATATACCCCAGAGGCATACTACGTGCTGCCCACTGAGGGGAACGGTCCAATGGAACCTTCTAAAGACTCTGTGAGAGTGTCTTTGTGCATCGCATAAATCCTGTAGGCCTGTGCCCTAGACTGAACTTAGCGCATATTGTATCTTTCAGGCATCTGCTCCATACCTACATATCCAGTTTTGGAAACCACAGCTTCACCACCCCAGGAAGTGTTATCAGAATTACCCGTCAGGCTGATATAGCACTAGACACCAGGCGGGCAGAGCCCACTGTATACACACAGTTTCATCCACAGCAAACAATAAACCTCCTGACCAGCTCTGGGCAGGGCGCAGGCAGTTGCGCAGCCCATCCCCATCTGAAAGTAAGAAGTCTCAGAGAGAAAGACACAGGTAGCTCTACAAAACTAACAGACGGGAAGGTTAGGCCAGGTTGATGGTAACTCACCGGGTTGAACAGATGAGGAAAGATGAAAGAATGTTGACTACTATTTTCAAGCTTCAGCTCTCTCCACTACCTACAAATAGAGAATGGCTAGGAGCCCTGAACCTTCTGGGCTGATCATCAGCTTAAACACAAGCTTCACTGTCTAATCTCTCCCCCACAACGGCCCTTCAGATAAGACATGAAAGGGGTGTTCCTGTCCCCAATGGCTTCTCTTCTCCAGAACGAACACTCCCAATTCCTTGGATTTTGTCACTCTATTCACCTTCTTGCTTAGGACTGTCCTCTTGAAAGGTGGGGCTCAGAACAATACTTCCAGTATGCTCTGTCTCCCATGTGGCAGAGCAGGCCGATGCCCTCCCTCCTTCTTGATGCTCTATTATAATAATTAATGCACCTAAGAGTACATTAGATTTTTTTAGCAACCACATACAGCTTTTCTCTTATAAGAGGCCTCAGTAGCAATTTAGAGGAACAATTTTGCATAACAGGAGGGTAAGGTGACAAAACTAACAGCCCTGCCACATCTCTAGTAACAAGTACTGCAAAGGACAAGGATGAAAGAAAAGGGTTACGAAGATGTGCTAACAGAGGAGCTGGCAAACTTTCTGTAAAGGATCATACAGTAAATATTTTAGACTCACCTGACCATACAACCTCTGTAGCAACGACTCAACTCTGCCTTGGTAGCCCAAAAGCAGCCATAGACAATATATAAATGAATGAGCAGGGATGTGTTCCAATAAATCTTTATTTATAGACACTGAAATTTGAATTTCATGATTTTCATGTATCATGAAATATCCTTTCAGCCTTTTAAAAATGTGAAAACCTACAACATTATGTTACATGAAAGGGGCCAGTCACAAAGGACTACATATTGTATGATTTCCATTTATATAAAATGCCCAGAATAGGCAAATCCATAGGGACAAAAGTAGATTAGTGGTTGCCAGGGGCAGGGAGGGATACAGGGGTTGGGGGAGTGACAGGTACTGGGTGCAGGATTTCTTTCTGGGATGATGAAAAGGTTCTAAAAGTGATTGTGGTGATGGTTGCACAACTCTGTGAATATACTAAAGACACTGAATACTTTAAATGGGTGAATTGTATGGCATATGAGTTATATCTTAATAAAGCTGTTTTTTAAGAATGTAAAAAAATTTTTTTAGCTCACGGGCCATACAAAAACTGTATAGGCAGGTGGAACCTGCAGGTGGAAGTTTACTCACTGTTCTCATTTTTTCCCCTCTACTTGAAGTAACTAACCATCCCTCTTCTATCCCTCTTCTACCTCCAGGTATCTGAATGTTACCCATCCTTTGATAATACCATCAAACGCCTCTTCTTCCATGAAGTCTTGCCTAACTCCCGCAAGCACCGTATCTGTCATCACTTACTGAGCACTTACTATGGAGTTGGCACCGTGTTAAGAATGCTTTACCTGAATTAATCTAGGGCCACTGTCACAACAACCCTACGGGGTATTTACCCTATTTTACTGGCAAGAAACCAAAGACTCCGGGATCGTGTAATTAGCCGAAGGTCACATGCTAGTGAGTGGCAGAGCCTAAATTCAAACCCAGATCTGAGGCCTGAGCATGTTTGTGTTTTCCGGCGCAGCAGGACTGGCTGCACCTGGAGAATGGGTCAGTCATGCATCCAGGTGGCGCCACCCGAGCACCACCACCCTGCACGATCTAGGGAATGCAAGAAGGGTCGTTGGCCGTTGGCCGAGAAGAGGAAATCGCAGACCAGGGAAGGAGCGGGGGTTTGTTGGAAGGGAGGTGGGAGGAGGAGGGAGAGCGAGCAGCCGGACCGCGGGCCCGAGCTTCCCGGGCGGTGCCTGTGAGACCGGGTTGAGGCTGAGACCCACGGCGGTACCGGGGCACCAGCAGCACATAGCGGCAGGGGGATTCGCCCGGCCAAGGAGTCCGGGCGTTCTGGATGGGAGGCGGCCCTCGGCTCCGAGCGGGTGAACACAGAAACGGGCGGAGGCGGCGGCGGGGCGAGGGATGCGAGATTGGTCCTTCGAGGGGGCCCTCCGCCCGCCCGGCTGCCGGCCCGCAGGCCCAGCCGCGCCTCCTTCGGCCTCCTCAAGCCGGCCGGGCCGCGCTGAGTACCTGGAGGGTTGACGTTGTCATTTCATCTCCTGGGTCCGACTCACACCCCGCGGCGCTGCTTGCGGCCTCGGTCTGGGAAAGCCGAGGTGCTGGGTCCTGCACAGGGAGCCCGGCGGGTCCGCGCTGGACGCGGGGAGGGTGGGCGCTGGCAGTGGGAGCCGAGTCTGCGGACGAGCGAGGAGAGCGGCCCAGAGCGGTCGGACCGGAGCAGCGCGGCTGCCCCCCGGCGGCCACGGACCGCAGTGCAGGCACCGCTCTCCGCGGCCTCCGGGCGGCTAGGGCGAGACTGGGGCAGGGGGCGTGTCGGGACGGGGGCGGGGCCTGGAGCCCAGCGAGGGCAGGGGTTAGGGCGGGGCGGGACGAGGGGCGGGGTCAGAGGCAGGGCGGGTAGAATCCTCAAGTGATAGACCCCACTTCGAATAAAACAGCATCTATAGGGTAGTTTTACTGGCATAGTAAACCTAAGTTCCCAGAGCTTTAGGTTTCTGATGTTTAATAGGGTATACTAATAATTACTTTTCTGGCTTTGGGGGGAATGAATGAGCTAATGTAAACACAGCCCTTGGCAATTTATTACGATGCCTGTGGCTCTATCTAAAGGTAGTTTTTGTTGGTGGTGCTTTTTGTTGTTGTTGTTAATATTAACCCTTCAACTTTTCTCTTTAGGAAAGGGGTTTCCTTAAACCTCCACAGATGGGGGCTTTACCCCACTGAACTTCAGTATAGCAGATTGGTTGTTCACATTCATTCACTTAACAATATTTAGTCATACATTATGTGCGAACTCTTTGCTAGTTTCTGAGGATACAGCAATGACCAAAACAGCTCTAGGGGAGCCTACAGGCCAAGGAGAAAGATGATGTTTGTCAGGAAAAGTGATGTAATAAGCATGTTGAGGCCTGCGTGTGAAGGCCCATGTGCTACGCGGGCTTCTAACAGGCAACTTGCCCAAGATAAGGGAGTCAGGAAAGGCTCCTATTTAAGTGGAGGTTTGAGGAGGGTGAGGAAGAGCTTTCCGGGTTGATGAAGCAGCCTGTGCAAAGGCCCCAAAGCCCTGAGGAGGCCACTGGTAGAATTTAAGAAACTGGAAGGCTCAGATAGCCAGAGAGCAGGAAGAAAATCAAAGTTTGATGTGAACAATGGTGGGGAGTTGGGCAGGGGCCAGGACATTTAGCTATGGTCAAGATTTTAGATTTTATCCTAAGAAAGATAGGAAACTTTTTTTTTTTTTGATAGATGACTGTAGCCCTAGAATACAGAACAGATTGCTGGGATGAGGTGGCTATTGTATATGAAGCTATTGCCATAGTCCAGAAGAGTGAGGGAAGTTTGGATTAGGAGGGCCGTGGAGAGACACAGAATGGGGAGGTTTTGGAAGCCAAATCATACGCACTTGGAAATGGATTAGATATGGGGTATGGTGAGGGGCAGGAGGGGACAGAGATGACTCCTGGGTTGCTGGCTTCAGCACCTGGACCAATGGTGGTGCTACTGAGATGGGGAATCCTGGACAAAAACCTTGTTTGGGCATGTGGAGGGGTGAGGAATATCATGAGTTTGAGGTGCCTTTGAAATATCAAATATCACATATATGCATCTGGGAGTCAGAAGAAAGATGAGGGCTGGAGATGCACAACTGTGAGACATCTGGGTACAGGTGGGAATGGAAGCTGTGCCAATAGGATCTCCTAGGGAAGAGTAGAGTGTAGTAGGGTGAGAGCTTGGAGGACAGAGCTTAGAGGTTTGTTGGCTGACCAGAGGATGAGCCTGCAAAAAAAGCTCAGAAAGACAGCTGGAGAGGTAGAATAACCAGAAGGGTGTCTTGGAAGTCAGGGGAGAGGGGCAAGAGGACTGGGGGTCAGAAGGAGAGGGGAACTCAGCACCTAATGCAGCTAAGGCAGACAGTGATATACGACACTGACGACCTCGGCCAGAGATGTTTCAGTAAGTGATGGAGGCAGAAGCCACCCACACTGCAGTGGGCTGGCAGTGAGTGTGGGTCATGAGGAAATACAGTCCATGAGAAGGCACAACCCTTTCAAGAAGTTTGGGGGAAAGAAAGGGAGGCCTAGAGCAACAGCTGCACTTGTGGGGTCTTGAAAGGAGTTTTTGACAGCTGTTAGTATGAGAAGAGTAGAACATGTTTGAAAAACTGATAGGAAAGATCTAGTAAAGACTAATCAATGGGAATGGGATCAAAGCATAGGTAAGACTGACTTTAGACATAGGAGGGAAGGAAGGTAACAAGAAGTTGGGAGAGTACATTTGGGTGGCTTCTGTTTTTTCAGTGAATTAGAAGAGAAGCAGAGAGAGAGGTGGTGGGAGGCCCAGAGTTCGGGGAGAGTAAAGACGGTTTGAAATCATTTCAAGTGAACTACAGGTGAGCAGTGTTAAGGGCAAACCTAGTAAAGGCTGGCTACCTCTATAAATGTATAAAGGTACCAATTTGCCTTGGATTTTTCTCCCCAGCACTCAGCTATTCATGTGCAGGGAGATGGTGGGATTCACCCAGGCGGCTCCTATGAGAATAGAGCAGCAAAGGAATTCACAGGCTTGGCTCGTGTGGTACTACAGTGGTAGGCTATGGAATCGCAGCCAGGTAAGATGGGAAGTGAATAGGGAGAAGAGTCAATAGACTAACTGAAGACCTAAAAGGTTGAAGGATAGTCACAGTGAGAGCATGCTGGAGAGGGATGCTTCAGGTACTAATTTCAGAAATGGCTGTTTCAGCAATAATGCAGTCCAGTGGGCCACCAAGGGAGCACGAAGATAGTGAGATGGCATGAAGGGGCCATCATGGCACATGGGAGGTCGAGAACCAATGAAAAGTCCCTACGATTAGAAGAGGGCTGGATTCATTTGCTAGGGCTGCCATAACAAAATACCATAGATGGGTGGCTTTAAACAATAGAAATGTATTTTCTCACAGTTCTGGAGGCTAGAAGTCCAAGATCAAGGTGTTTATTAGCAGTGTTGGTTTCTTCTGAGGCCTCTTTCCTTGGCTCATACACGGCCACACTTCTGCTGTGTCCTCACAGGGTCTACTGAATGACCTCTTCAAAGGCCCTCTCTCCAAATACAGTCACATCTGAGGTGCTGGGGGGTCAGCGTATGAATTTTGGCAGGGCACAGTTCAGCCCATAGCAAGGGCTGAGTTTGTGATCCACTGGCTGTGTTCATCTTCTCTTTGTTCTGCCTACTCAGCTTCCTTAGAACCTCTTGCTTAGCTTCTATCTTTCATGAGCCTGCCATCCAGACACAATGACCCTGCTTACAAGGCAGAGCTTCCCAGAGGATGCTCCTCTAACCCTCACCCCAGAGGAAGCTCTGTCCTGAGTAGCTGCTTTTGATTTGATGGCAGGAAATGGGATCTCCTCCCCATCTCACTTGGTCATCCATTGTTGACTTTCTTAGACTAACAGCCTGAAAACAGACTCTGAGAACCCTAGTTCTGCAATGGTGTTGCTATTTCTGGGGATGGGGGAGTACAAGGAAAGGGGGAATAAAGGTACTAAATTTATTTGTGGGCTGGCACATGGGGTATGTTTAGGCTTGATGATTCTGAATCAGATAAGTAATTTCATGTTGTAACTTTCTCACTCGAGCAGAAATGAGATTCTCAGCTCCCACATTCGGTAGAAAGTCATTGACTTGCAAATGCATAATTCCATTTGCCCTTTCTTGCACAGCACTTTTCTGGATTGGATTCTGATGCCGAGAATTTGGCACTGTTGTAAACCCAAGCTTGGACCAGTCAATCAACTGCTTAGCCAATATAACCCAGTAAAATCCGACTATATAAACTCCAGCATTCTAGAGCTCGTGCCAAGGATTAGGTTCCTGACAATTTCTTAAGGAGCCCCTTGGATGGGGCCAAGAGCAGTGTGGAGGAGGAACAAAAACTAGGTTCAATGAGTAACACTTTGGAGAGGAAGAGCCAGGGCAAAATTTTGCTGAGGTATCACACAAAATGAGTGACTGACACCCAAATTAATGGAGCACTGATGGTTCCTAATACGATTCCTGAGAAACCATCTCTATTCTCACTCCTCTGATGACTCGAAATATGAAAAAGCTCAGATGGATCCAATGATTGAAGCTCTCATCACAAGGAAAGCCACTTGTGGGACGAGAACCAAAACTGAGTTTTTAAATTTGGAGTTGCCCTAAATCTGCTTTCAAACGGCACCAGAAGAGATTGATGAGACATGAAAACCAAACGCAAAATGTGGTACTGCATAGGATCCCATGCCAAAAAGGAAAAGGAAACATTGTTGGGACGATTGGTACCATTTGAATGGGGTCTGTGGATGGATGGGGTGGTAGTGTTGTACCAATGTTGGTTTCCTAATTGGGAGGGCTGTATGGTGGCAATGCAGGAGACTGTCCTTGAGTTTGGGATGGACACACTAGAGAATTAAAGGCTGAGAGAGCATCATGTCAGAAAAAGACAAGAGAGGGTAATGGAACAAATGTGGTAAAATGTTAACAATTGGGAAAACTGGGTAAAAGGCAAGTAGGAGTTGTTTGTACTGTTCTTAAAACTTTCCTGTAGGTTTGAAACTATTTTAACATAAAAAAGTGAAAAAAATGCAAGTCTAAAAGCAATTTTTTTATTTACAGTATAAAGGTTACAAAGGTATATATGTATTTATATATAATACCCTTAAGTTACAAATTTTCATTGTAATATACAATGCTATATGTTGACATGCAACTCAAGGGAAAGTGTTGTCTATGCATTTGTATTTATAGAGTACACATACATAAAGCTTTTTTTTTAAGAACACAAGTACTGCCCTGTTTTATGCCATGGGTTTTGATTTGGTAGTCTGGTGATGCCAGAAGATTTGAAACTTAAATTTTAAACAACACTTAAAATTTTGTTTAAATACCAGGTTCTAAAACGAAGAAAAAACCAGAATGTCACATACTTTTAATTCTTTGTAGAAGTATTATTCTAGCTTTCTAAGTCTTAAAACCTAACAAAAATGAAAACTGCATGGGACAGACAAACAAGTGGGTATAATCAGAGTTTGCACAGATTAGCCAGAATAGGCCTTCATAGGTAGTGGTTTGCCACGTTGTCTTCTAAAAGACCTTGGGTCTGATACCAAAAGGGAAACAATTCTTTGGGCACCAAGGTCTTACCATGCTGAACCCATTCAACAGATTGTAAACGTAACACTGGCGTCCTATAATGGAGGGGGAAAAAATGAAACTGGTCTTATGATAAGGGCAGATTTGCTGTAAGTTGTGAAAAGCATCATCAAGATTGATGTCAAACCCAAAGCTTAGTTTTAATTCTCTCCTCTCCTCCAAATTCTATTAATTTACAAAATAGAGGCAAAAAAAATGAACTGACACCCACTTGAACAGGACTGAGATAAAAGGAGAGCACTTTTTCCAACCTAAGAGGAACAGACACTTACATGACAATCCTTATGTGCTGGTTCCCATATGTAATCATTAGCACCTGATTGTCAAAGGGTAGGTCTAAAGTGAAGACCAAGACACTGGAGACATGACCTAACTTCGGTGCACAGCTCCAGGACACTTGAAAACAAAGGGAAAGGTGCCCATGAGACTATGTTCCCTCTGCCATTCCAATCACATAGCTCAGGTACTTTCTGGGCATGATGAAGGATGTTACCTGAAAGGCTGACCCTAGTGATAAATGGAAGGCAAGCTGGATAGAAAAGGACTGTTCCTGTATGAAAATTATGGAAAAATTCAATCAACCTCTCAGTTTCTTTAGATGCCTTTTTTACTGAGTTTGAATGTCACAGTGTTCTGGAATAGTGGAATTTTGCTAAGTTTTAAATATCTTCATTTGATCTCTCATTATGAAGAAACACTCCATCTATTATGTGTAAGGATTTCCAGCAAATGAGATGTTTAAAGGGTTTAAGTGTGGAAATGAATGGGTCAGCACAATTTAGAAATGGGGGTGGTGGGGGGGAGGGGGTAGATGAAGTACACATTTAGCTTTGCTGTTTAGTTAAAAGTGGCATTTCTTTAAAAAGACTTTCCCATTGATCAATTTTGGGCAATAGAGCATAATTGTTGTTATCTTAACTAAGGATATTCTACACTGTTCTCCTTCCTAAACTAAAGTCTTAATTTTGCATTTAAAAAATTATGCATGATGAAAAGACCAATCTACTTTTACGTGTGCTTGGAGTTCTTTCACGCTAGCATGGACCAAAGACGGAGCATGCTTTGAAACATTTTCCAGTTCACCAGATGAGCAGAGCTTCAGATGTTCTTTGGTAAAAATATGAAGTGGTTACTTACTTAACCTCTGATTGATAGATGGCATGGCATGACTGAGAAGTAATGGATTATGTGCTACTTGAGGGCAGGAACTTTCTTTTGGACCCTTCAGAGTGCCTGTGAAGAACTGTACATGAATAAATGCTTATTTGATGAAAGACTGTAAGAATTAATTTATCATTAATTAGTCCTGCAATTTCAAAATTTCTCCAAGCCTCCAAAGAACCCTTTGTCTATTCATAATAGGTTTCCATCACTTTGGAAGAGGTGATAGAAGGATCAGGTTCCAAGGGTGTATATGTGACTGGGATAAAGAGGGACTCAAAAACTAAAAAGCATTTGTGTCAATGGGATGGAGGTTAAGATTACTACAAAACTGAGTAAGGTAGGTCGAGGACTCAGCAGTTAGAATCTATCAGGATACCTAATCTTGCAATATAATGAAGTATCGTTTCTCTGTTACAGCTTTTTAGTTTCAAACTATTTTGGGGCAATTCAAGGGTTACAGTTCATATGGTAGATTTTTGTGGAATATAACCAAATGTTCATTGGAGAGCAAGCAATCAATTGCAAATGGCATATTTACCCCAAATGTAGATTCATTTTAAAAACCAGAATATGTTTTGGGTCAGTCACCTGAAGTGGAAAGGAAGAATAAGAAATGGCAAGAAATTAAGTTCAAGTTTATCAGTTTTGAAACAAGAGAAGAAATCTTGTTAAAATATTTTTTCAAGTTAATATATAACAATCATTCTTCCAGTTGGCAGTTTAGCTAGTGTCAAAGAGACAAGGAAATAGATGTGCTCTATGTGCCTATTTATTGTACCTTACCTTAACTTGAAATTCAGTCCTTTAATAGGATGAACTTGTATCATTTAACTGCCAGATGGGTTTTTTTTTTTTAGAAAAAGGGTTTCATATCATCTACTTAAGCAGTCTATTACAAGTATAAAATAAGTTTCATTTAATATCATTATACCATAGGAATTGCTATATTGCTCAAGAAAACATAATCCTGATATAAAGCATAATTATTTTAGATCATCACACATTTCTCAAGTGTCTATATAACCACCACAGTGAAAGATATAGCATAAAAAGGGGAGAGGGGAAGACTGCTGCTGTCAATTTTTAAAGATGATATGTAGAAAGTCAAAATAATTCTAGATTTCCAAGCAATTAAAATAGAGACGCAGAGAGAGAATGGTAGCAGATGGCAAATTCCTTTGCTTTCATCTTCAAGAAGCCACTATAACTCAAATTTAACTAAAAGAAATTTCCAAACTCAAGGTAGAATATAATACCACCTGACACATAATATACCTGATAAAGATACATAAACAGAATGAATATGACTATAGTCAAATTCAACTTAAAGTTTAAAGTTTAAGCAGCACCCCCAATTTAAATAAGTCTCTTTTCTCACACAGATATTCAAATCAAACCAGAACACTATGTTGTTGAGAACAAAGAAATCTGGCATTTTACTTCTTCATTAGGGATTGAAAAAATACAACCTTTGGCTTTCTAACCAGCCATTTCATTTATGGTATCAACAGTGGATGGCAGTGACATGGAAATGTATGCTGGATATTTGGATGGTTTAAATATTATGTACAATCAATAGCTTATAACCAGTGAAAATAACATAATTCAGCCTAAGTGTCCAAGATAAGATACAAAAAAGCAGAGAAAGTGCTTAAGTCTACAGGTCTTCCCTGAAAGCTTCAAAAAGGTTTAACTCTTTAGGTAGGGAGGGCTTTTAATAGAATTTGCATAGCAGCTTACAAGATAATTTGCTTTAAAAAATATGGAGATTCTTCCATGTTTCTGAAAACATACAAATATATCCACATGCATATAAATTAAATAAGAAGACCTGGAGATTCTCACAAAATTAAAAAAAAAATTCAATCATAACCTTTTCTCAAAAGTGGTCACACTTTTGTCCATCAAAACCATTTACAGTGAAACTTGTTTTTTTGTGGGGTGAAACATAATCTTGTCCAGATTCCACACAGCTTAATTTTTTTTTGAAAGAATAAATTTTGGTTTATTAGCTAAGTGCATTTAATCAGCTTTTAAAAGAAAGCTTTGTTACCATTCTGCTTAGGAGGACAAGTTAAGAAAACAAATAATCAGTAACAACTTTAATCATTTGTTGGTTAGAGAGATTTTTCCACTTATAAAAATATAAGAAATAAATAATTCAATCTCTCCTCCATGCAATAATTCTCAATAACGTCTGTGAGACTACCGATGATAAAAACAGGCACTATCAGGGTTTACCTAGCCTAGAAAGTGCTAATACATGGCTTTAAAATAGGTGAATGACATTTAAAGTAATATTTTTGATTGCCTGTACATGTCCCAATATTTAACCTGAAACTCTGTCTACTAGGTAGGTGAGTTTACAGTTACAACTATCTAATAAATACTGTATAAACATACATTAAAGTATTTCTTCATATAAAATATTAGATACTAATTTCTAGGTAAGGTTCATTTGATGACTTCAGGAAAGGACTTACCTTTTTCAGAAAATAATAACTGAGCCTTTTCTTTTAGAGGCATCTGTGTGGAATATGGAGAAGATGTCTGAGCCCCAGGTCTCGGGGCACAGGAAGTGGTCCACGAAATGAGGGGGACACTACTCTGCAATTCCTTTACATTCTACACATGGAAGCCCACAACACTCTCAACCATTTTCCTAATTCAAAATGAAAAAGAAATGAAAAGTTAACTGTTCTATAAAAGATGTAAAATATCAAAAATGCCTATTTTTAGTTGTCACTTGAAAATAATTTGCCACATTTTGGCATCTAAATACAAAATACAAGTTGACCCTTGAACAACGTGGGGACAAAGGCTGTCGACTCCCTGCACAGTTGAAAATCTGTTTAACTTCTGACTCCCCCAAAACTTAACTACAGTCATCCCTTGGTGTCCATGGGAGATTGGCTCCAGGAATCCCCCGAGATACCAAAATCCACGGATGCTCAAGTCCCTTATGCAAAACGGTGCAGAGCAATGCATACAGTCAGCCCTCATCAAACGCAGATTCCCAACCATGGACTGAAAATATGTACGTATTTATCAAGGCTGTCTCATTTATAAAAAGTACTTCATTTGTGGTTTGAAAATCCCACAAACACATTAACTGAAGAACAACCTGGTCACCCATGATTGGAAAGCTCTTGAAGCATGTTAAACGAGCAGCTTAAGGGCTCTTGTTCTTGGGGGTGTCAGTGGTCAAAGGAAACCTCTCATACAATTTCATTTCACATCAAAGCTCAGAAGATATTAAAAACCCTATGACCTTGGTGCTATACATGACAGTTTAAGCTTGAGCAAAGTGAGCTGAAATGCACACATGCCTTATCTCTCCCGCCCACATTTTAATCACACCTTGTTTACAGATCTTTTTCATATAACAAATGAGGGGGTTCAGAGTTCCCCCTGAAAATCTTTTCAGTGGCGTAGCCTTTCACACTAACACAGACAACCTCAACCAGATGGCTTTGCTGCAAACGTCTGTGTCTGCATCATTCAACTTCTCAGATTAATAATACTCTCACTGCAGAGTGTCGAAGTCCCTTATCTGAGGGTGTTATGTGTTGAGATTCTTCTTCCAGAAATCAGAGCTGAACCTTCAAGATGTTTTTTTTTCTTCCGTGACTTGCAACCTTTTCTAGACAGAACCAAATTTAGGTATATGAATTTTCAAATCATAAAAGCTCTTGAAAGGCATATTCTAGTCTAGACTTCAATATCCAGTTTTAAGCAGATCGACAACTCATTTTTGGGGGCTGGAGCTAGGGTGAACAGAGACACCTCTCGCTAGCCTCTGCATATGGTTAACCTCACTGTACACGGCCAAGGACTGACTGATGGCCAGAGGGAAGACAATGGGGTTACAATGTCTAACTTGAACTCTCTGCTCATGGGTCTGCTCTGTCACAGGTCCCACATATACCATGTCAGTCTGCGTTCAAACCAAATAGCTCAAGTTTTGCATGTATTGTTGTGTTTTCTTTTCCTATTTGGAGTGCTACCCTCTTCCACCCTCTGTAGTGTTCACATCCTCTTATGGCCCTCCTGATGAATCTAGTAAATGAGACCTATTCCTAGACCTTTCTTCAGAGAGCGCAGAGAACATACAAGTCAATAGTACCTTTCCTTTCAGTTCCAGGGACTGTGCTACTCTTGACATTTTATATAGCTATTATGCTATTTTAAATGGTTTCAGATATATACCTCCTTCATAATTAGAAATAACAAGCTGAATGTGTCCTCTGGCACCACAAAATCAGCAAACTTACTGCTACTATGACCTAATGATGACATCTGGCAATGCTTAGCAAAACCCAAGTAAGCTGTCTCATGGTCTCATCACCCTTCGCACTGTAGGATGCAACTCTAAGCCAATACTGAGTCTTGAATTAGCAGCTGCTTGTCCATGCCACTCTGATGCCACAGAGGGAGAGGGCCAGGCCCAGGATCCTACGTGGGTACAGAGCCAAAAGCAACTCGACGTGTTGTTGGTGCTGCAAAGCTAGCTTCACCCACAAATTCTACTCTAGACAAGCTTGCTGTCCAGGATTTATCTTCCTCAAGGGTATCTGCCCACTAGAAAAGATACCACTAAGGGACTCCACCTCAAAGACTATTCTTCCAAACTAGGATAGATGATCTTCCTGGAATGGCAGTGATGTCCAGTTATTCGAAGAGTGACCAGTAAAGCTCCACTAACCCTAACCAAAGGCACATTTGGTAAGCAGTAAAAAATGGCTTAGGCTAAAATGAGGATTTTCTCTTAAAATAAATCTTACAACATCCCCTGGCTCCGACCAAAGATAAAATCAGAAAACCCTAAAACCAGCACAACTTTTCTTTCAAAGCGGTGGTTTCCAACTTGCTTTTCAACTTGGTCACCACTAGAAAGGGAGTGGAAGGCAAGGCAAATCAAATTTTGCAAGTTCTACGTCCTAAAGGTAGCACTTGTGATGGTGGGGGGTTGGGGGTGGGTGGGAATGCAGCGAGAGCCAGGACAGATGGAAGAACGCTTTGGTGGTGCTTCCTAGGGTAGAAGGAGCAAGTGAGCACAGTAAATGCAACAAAATGTACAACCTATTTGGAATGACCAAGAAGCACAGGCTGCTGTAAAGTAGCACCTGGGAAGAGATAGTCGTCCTACGCAAGAGATCAAGGCTAAGTCTGAAATAAACCCTATAGGAAGAAGACAAAGAAAACAACTCTTGGACATTTGACTATGTCCAAAAAGAAAAGCAACGAGCCACCCTTCTTAACAAGAGGAATAAACCGAATTACATAGAAACCACATTAGGAAACTAGACAATACATCGACAGCTTCATTTTGGAGCTTATTAGAGTCCTAGAACTTCTGGCCAAGATAGCTTGTGAAAGGCAGGCTCTTCTTTAAACATGGTTACGGGGCAGCAGTGATTTGCAGGTCCTTGTCAAGGCACTGTGCTGGAGGAGAGAGCAAAGAGCTTTCTTTTTGTGCTTCTTTTTTTTTTTTTGAGGTGGAAATACTTCATGTGACATTCAAGGCTCTTTTCTGATTTTTCTGCTGCTTATACAAGCAGTCCCATGCGAGTGACTTTGGCCGACAAGAAAGTGTGTAACACGAATACAATTGGCTTCGGACAAGAGTGCAGGTCCATGGTCTGTGGAGAAAGGACATTAATTATCACACCGTATACAGATACTTTAATAAACATGCAAAATAAACAAACTGAGATGTGATGTTCTACTTTGTGAAAAGAACTTGGGTGAAGAATGTGTCAGAGCTACAGAAACTCTACGGAACTTAAAGCCACAAATGAAAGTACTCTCAAGTCAGCTTGTTCCATGTCATAATTACACACTAGTGTGAGGTTTCACATCAACAATTAGGACAGAGCTGGTGGTATACTGGGTTCCACCACGCCTGGTAGGAAGAATGTAAAAGAAGGAATATCCTATGTGGACACCATGGATTGTAGTTATATTTCTGAGTGGGAACCACAGCAAACTCAGCTGAAGAGTGATCATCTATGGGTATGATTTTTGACACCCTTACAGGTTGTGGTGGGAATGACAACCCTTGAGGCCAGTTAGGACAGCTAGTCATACCTTCCTAAGCGCAGGCCTCTAATTTGGACAACTGGCATCAAGATACAACTTTATGAAAAATATAAATTATAGAGCACTAAAGTCATCACTAAACTTTATATATGTTAAATATAAAGCAGGGATTAAAAATATATAATAGCCAGGACTAATCTAATACCTTGCTTGCTAAGTGGCAATTAATAACTGGTTAATTTAATAGACAGAAGTATTTAACTCCCTCTAATGCTTCAGGCTTTTGAACACCCCGGTCCATGGCCTATCCCTAGTCTCATAAAGGTTTGTTGCTTAAAATAAGATTTCTAGCCACAGTTTTCTCATTTGGAGGTTGAACTATGTAGTCTCTAAGATCTTTTTGCAGTTTTAACTTTTCAAGATTCTGGTTTCCAAATTACACCTATTGTGTCTGTGTCAATGGACATAAGATTTCATGTATGTTAAGACTTGAACTATTGGCTCAATGTTGATAAGAGACAAAGGCATTGTTTTACCCTTTATCATAACTTATGATTTCTGAAGTATACTCGACACTCTTCTCTAGTTCTCTAGGGAGAATCATGAATTCCTGTTGCTATTTCCTTTAAGGGACAGGAGGTGGAAAAAGACGATGGCTGTGTGGACATATGTCTGCATCTTTTTTTCTCATCAGCAGAATTTCTGTAGCAACCAAGTTACTCTATTACTTTTAATTCTTATCCCAACAAACTGCTGATAACAGCAATGGATAGAATTTATTTAGTATTTAATATGTTTAATACTTAATATCTTATTTTTTATAAAAGCCTATTTCTTAAAAAGGCTATTTTTTCTTTCTAAGATTCAAATAAAACTTTTAAAAAAGGGCATAATTTCCTAATGTGGGTCAAGAAATGAAAAAAAAACACACAAAAAACCCAAAGCATCTTGAAAACTAAAGAATAGTTTCCTGGCAAAAATGGAGTATTAGTTCATAATTTTCCATAAAAGAGGTAAGAAGTTATAAGAAAGAAAGCAAATATTAGAATAAACATGTTTTCAGAAACTCTCTTACCAGTTCTCCCTCAGGACCACCAAAATCCAGATACAGATTTCTGATGCCATCATCAGCAGACATTTTCAGCCTTTCAAAGGGGTAGCGGTACAAGATGCTGCTAGAACTTCCATTTTCCCTGGAGAGAGTGAACCCATTTTCATAGTGGATAGTGAGTCTTATCTCTTGGCCATTTAAAGTGCAGCCTGTTGAAGACAAGCGAAAACATTAATAAAGTTCCTACTTCAGTTATCAAGTGGAAAAGGATTCTTCTGACTTCAAAAAAGGAAACAGAATTTTTTCTTGAGAATGTGTGTGATACCTAACCTATCTGGAACCTTCTACAGTGAGTTTTGTTCCGGTCACCCAAGTCAACATTTTGAGAAAAGGAAGAAATTACCTTAACTCTCCTTGACATCTGATCTGATTTTCAATTCAGTATCAAATGAACATTTGTGCTGGCAGTAGCCTATGCGGGTACTGGAGAAGTAAGAGGCACAGTCCTTGCTCTCAAGGACCTCATAAATAGATAGGCGTAAACATGAAATCCCTACCTGTGTAAGGTAGAATGTATAGAACATGACTAAACACCAAACTAAATAAAGCCAAAGTCAAGGAAAGGTTTCCTGGAGGAGATGGGATTTCAGATAGGCTGTAAAACATAGGTCAAACTGGATAGGCAGTGAGGAATAGAGAGGTTTCAAGTGGGCAAGAAAAAGTGACAACCAAAGGGGATGGTGGAGGTGTCTTACAGGCGCTAACATGGTTTGGTTGGTATTTGGAAAGAGGATAATGTTTATTCAAGATAAAGGTTAGAGTTAGCAAAAGTCATACTGTCAGTCCTATCAAAGATAAAAGATAAAATTCAAAGGATACATCTCAATTGATAGGAAAAAAAACCTCTAATCAAAACTAGCAAATGTCCGGGGCTGGCTGAGTGGCTCATTGGTTAAGAGTTGGCTTGGCTTGGGAGCAAGAGTTCTGAGCAGCAGGGCCACCGGTTCGGATCCCACATGAGGCAGTGACACTGCGCCCTCTACAGCTAAGATGGTGAACAACAGCTCAACTTGGAGCTGGGCTGCCGTGAGTCGCCAGCGATGGCGTAAGCTGCAATGGGCTGTCATAAGCTACCGTGAGTGGCCGGCAGCCAGCAAGAGCTGCCGTGAGCTTTTGTAAGCTGCTGTGAGCCGCCATGAGCAGCCGTCCAGAGGCCGACGACCGATCTGCCTCATCTGGGAAGAGCGCAATGATCACAATACTAACATGGGCCAGTGAAGCAACATCCTCCACAACTATACTGAAGAACAAAAGGACAGCAACTTGTCTGTTCCCCTTCCCTGATTCCCCAATGCTGTTCCCTCCCCCAATTCCCCAATAAAATCTTAAAAAACAAACAAACAAACAAACTAACTAACTAACTAACTAACTAGCAAATGTCCTCACCAAGACTGAGGATGTCCCTGTCTCACTAACATTTGAGCACAGTTTTGTTGTTAGTACAGGGGCTGTTAGTGAGAGGTCCTCTGAGACCTGGGGATTAACAAAGCGCTCTGAGAGATGAACTTAGAATCATCTAAAGGTTCAGTGTCCAGCTATGCTTGGTCACTTTAAACAGAAAGAATGGCTCCCAAACAAGCAAGTCCTCACATCCTGACCCATTCTTTCACTGCACATGCAAAAACAGTTAATTAGCCAAAGCAGCTGGTGTGTTTAGGAAAAAGAGTAACAGGAATATTGGCAGTGTCCCTTCTCAGAACCACTCGAACAATGGACTTTGAAATAGTAGTTACCCTCAGAAAAGGAACCCTGGATAAAATCCTGGAACCATGGATAAAATTAACTACCTGTAGAAGTAATCCAATGCAATAATCTCTAATGAACAGCTGAGGCGTCCGGAGAAAGAACAGACAAATCCCAATCAAGGCAAACAAGGTCCAGTTTTCAAGAGAATTTTATTCTATTAACCTCCCTGAAGCTATAGCAATAGTGAAGGGTGTTAAGGTCTGATGAGAGAGGGGTTAGTTCTAGTGTAAAAAAGAAAAGCTCAGGGCCGGCCGACTGGCGCGTTGGTTAAGAGTTGGCTTGGGATGTCAGCTCTGAGCAGCAGGGCCTTGGGTTTGGATCTCACATGAAGGTGAGTTATGCTGCACCCTCTACAGCTAAGATGATGAACAACAGCTTGACCTGGTACTGGGCTGCTGTGAGTCCCTGGCGTCAGCGTAGGCTGCAGCGAAGCTGCAGTGGGCTGCCATAAGCTACTGTGAGTGGCTGGCAGCCGGTATGAGCAGCCGGCAGCCAGTGTGAGCTGCCAAGAGCCACCGTGAGCCGCCGTCCAGTGGCCGGCGACC